GGTATTCTAGATCTCATATGAACTCACACATTTTGCTACATGTTTGAACATACCTTCAGATATTGAAGAAAACAACCAACTTACTAGACATTGATCTACTCTTTTCTAACTAAAATACTTAGGGTTAGACCTTTTTACAATTTCTTCAGAATCATTAGATTTTTCAATAACAAGCATAGGGGGACAAACATTCTCACCGTTATGAAGCCATCAAGGTCATGAGATGCTAAAGCTAGGAGAATTTGTGAGCGCCAGTGATCGTAATTCTTCTCTCCAAGCTTGACAGAAATGGTAGGTAACTGAACACCAACAGATGTGCCATCTCCGGCATAGGTTTGTTTGATTTCTGATTTTGAAATAGAGTTTGAAGATTCAGGATTTGATTGAGCCATGGACGTTGGTCGTAAGCTCTAATACCATGTAGGTTTTTGCAAAAAAAAAAATCAAGAAAGGTCCAGAAGCAAAGTTGAATACGCAAGTTAAGAGAGGGAAACAGTAGCTAAACAGAAGAGAGAGAATGCTTTTTTTTTTTTTTTTTAAGTGTAAAAGTAGTTACATCGATTTATATAATAGACAAAGCTGTTATACTAAAAACATAAGCACTAAACGATGACGTTTTTATATTGCTTTACATATTTACAAAAACAATCTCTTCATACTTCTAAAAGCTTACAAAATCAACCCTGAAACATATATTCAACATACTCAATAATACGCAGCTCTGTTTTAAGCCATAAAAATTTGTTTATGATGCCGTTGGGGTTTAAAGGATTAATATTATTTTGCAGTAGGTTAGATTGAAACGCTGATAATCATCATAATTGAATCAGCAAAATGAGCAAGAAACCATTATAATTGGAACTGTTTTTCCACTGTTTACCAGTCTGGTATTCAATTTATATAAATCCTGATAATAATAATAATAATAATAAAAAAAAATCATCTCAATTTTAGAATCCGACATCGTTAGCAAACATTTATCTTTACCAATTTATAAGCATCTCAGAACACAACACAAATCGCCGAGCTCAGCAACGTGAGCTTGTGACCCAAGTGAGGGCAAATAAGTGATGGAACATTGGCTCAATTCAGTTGAGTTGGTTCAAGCCAAGAGTTGATCCATGTGTTTCCGGCGTGGCTGCTTACTAGCTGCTGGTTTCACAAAGCAGCGACAACCTCCCGCTCTTAGCAGTGGAAGGATAACAAGCTAGTGCCACCTGGTCTCAATATGGCTCAATGGGTTGACCCAAAATGAACCATCACTTTTTATTTTATTTCCCCTCCTTTCACTTTTTTTTAATAATAATTTATTTTCCTCTTTTTTATTCGTAAAAACTGGGATCATCCAAAAGCTATGTTAATTGTAGTATTATATTTGGACTAAATGAGTTGTTTTTGTATCTCACATCATCAAGTTAATGGGATGATCATTTTTATCCAACAGTATATATGTGTATTATTTAAGAGATAATAAAATAGACTCTTCCCACCAAAAGTTAACTAAACATATCAATCCTAATGGTTCTTTAAATAAAAGATTGATTAATTAATTAATTAAATTACTTTAAAACATGGTATTCATTTATAAATCAAGAAGTTGATCTTGAGATCTTCCCATCTTATTGTTAAAACTTGCCTATGATACGTAGATGGAATAAATTCCTAAAGGAGTGACTAGTGCTTCTTTTGAAGAAGGGAATGCATTAATAATCTGGCCAAATCATTTAATTTATGATAAATTTTTGGGACAAAATTTTATATAGAACAGTCTTACCATATCATTTGTTGATAACGTGACAAATATCATTGTTTCTCCTTGATTTTTTAAGTTTTAATTATCTTATGTCATATGTCAATTTAAATTTTCAAGGGTCCAGATTTAATATTTAACTTTCTCTCACTTAAATGACCAATATTTAATGACTTAAACACATCAAATGAGATATTTGATCTAAAGAATTGACAAAATAAAAAAGAAAACCAAAATATTTCAGAAAAAAAAAATACTAAACACAAACTGTAACTTTTTTCAGTGACAGAATTTTTATAATAAAATTTAAATAAAATACAAAAAAAAAAAAGTATATATTGGCTGTAGTGATAACATTTTTGAAAAGAAAAAAAAAAAATCAAAACAACGTGTATTCTTTTTGAACAACAAAGAATTTTTATGATGAAATTTATATAAAACACTAGAAAATGAAGAAAGTTACATGTTGGGTTAGAGTCATAGCCTTCGTAAAATTCTTGTTTTATATTGGATTAGAGTTTTTAAAGGAATTTTTTTTAATAGATAAATAAAATTTATTTGACAGAAAGAAGAAAATAAAGAAAGAGAAAACTTTGAAAAGGAAATAAAATAAATTAGAAGGTAAAATTTGTACAACTATGGGTGCGTTTGGTTCAAGGTCATATTAGCTTACGGAGGTAATCTTCGTTTAATTTTCAAAATTCCCTTGTTTGGCTTGCGAGTAATAAAATATTACGGACATTTTTTGTTGCAAATAGTATTTATTGTTGGCAACATAAGGGGTAATCAGATTATCCCCCAGGGGGTGCTATTAAAAGATTACTAAGGTAATTTGATTTTTATACTTATTTTACCCTTAATTAAATACCATTTCGGACATCATTGCCCTCAAATGTCTACCAAATAACTATTACCCAGACCTCCTATATTTGAGAATTTAGCTAAAACACCTCAGCCACAAAAGGTTTAAAAGTTAATAAAATACTCCTAACCACCCAAGACCACTACCGGCCGTCAGAGACAGTCACCGTAATGGCACACGACCGATGGGATCTAGTTGGTCGTGCACCAGTAAGGTCGTTTCCAGATCTATGGTCGGAAACGGCCAGATTTGGTTGTTTTTATGGTCGTTTCACGACCACATCTTTGGTTGGTTCCTCATTTTGCCGATTCAATTATGGTAAAATGATTGTTAGCATTTGAATCTAACCTAGTAACGGGTGTAGAAAGCAAAATTGTTAGCATTTGAATCTAACCTAGTAAAGGGTGTAGAAAGCAAAATAATATTAATCCTTTAAACCCCAAAGGCATGGTTTGAACTTTGAATCTAACTTAGTAAGGGGTGTGAAAAGAAAAAAAATTTTAAGAGCAAACGACATGTTCCCACCCAAAGATTAGTGAAATGGCAAGTTCCCACTTCTAGTTTCATTTATTCTAGATTTTCACTCTTAAAAGTGACACCGTAAGTGACTTTGGAGTTCTAACATAAGTGCAGAAGGTGTTATTACTAAACTACCCTTGAACCTTTAAAAAGTTTTTTGTGTTTTATTTTGAAATCGAGCTGTCGGCTTTTTCGCCATTTTTCGGACTTTTTTCACCTAAAACCACCATCATCTGCCTCCCTGAACCTCCCACGCCAGAAACCCAACCTTTCCTCAGCCGAAACCAACCAGTCCCACATGGAAAACATCGGCCATAGTTGGGTTTTTTACGTGTTGCTTGACTGTCCCTAGCCGGATTTTGGCTAATTTCGGTAGCCTCAACCCCAAACGACACCGACCCTGCACTCACAGGCATCTCCCCTGAAAACCCCCAACCTTCTCGACCACAATTGCTTGTTGTTCACTGCCGCCATTCACCTTAGGGTTTTGTGAATTTAATTGAAATTAGGTTTGATTTTTTTATTTTTTATTTTTTTTTAAAGTTGTTGAATTGGAGTTTAATTAGGTTGTGGTGAATTGATTGTTGCTTAATTGGATTCTTTTTATGGCTTTTCCCCTGCCATCGACCACCCTTTCTCTTGACCTCTCCCACGCCTGTCACCTGCTCGATTAATTGCCCCAACCAAATTACCCAACGGCCACCCTTTCAAATTATAATAAAATACCATTTTAGCTTTTAACTATTAAAAAAAAACCTAACGGTGTCACTTTGAGAGTAGGAATCTGGAATAAATGAAGCTAAGGGTGACAACTTGTCATTTCGCTAATTTGTGGGTGGCAATAAGTCATTTGCTCTAATATTTATCCTTTAAACCCCAACGGCGTGATAAAGATATTTTTATTGCTTAAAAAATAGAGTTGTGTATGCTATGAACGAAATAGAGTTATGATGCGAAATCAAAATAATAAACACACAAACCACAAATAGTAAAAGAAAGAAGAAGTACGTGTAATTTACCCTAATTCACCCAATTAATAAGCTACGTCTAATAAAGTTAATATTATTTCAATACTGTCTCACCTTTCTTATTTATAATAAAGTAATTTGTCCTATAATTCCTATCACTTATTACAAGAGAAAAGTGTACTTATATATTAGGTTTAAAAGAGTAAAATATAATATTACAAAAATTCATATTCTAAATCCAAACTTAATAAGGAATTAATAACTTAAAATTTTTTTAGTGGTTATGCATGGCAAAAGTCACTGCCTACCAGCTAAGGGGCGTTACCCCTGCGATCCTGCCTGCTCACCGGGGAGTAGGGCCAGCGAGACCTCCAAATATGTCTATTTAGTGCTGAAGTAGTCGACTACTCCAACGTGCTACTTACTAAAAACCCACTAGAAACAAACAGGCTCCATGAAGTAATCAGTGCGTCAGTATCTATTTTATTGTTAAGAGAAATACAGAACGTGGCTTCATATGAGACGGCTTAAAACAGAGCTGCGTTTGCTACTTACTAAAGACCCACTAGAAACAAACAGGTTCCGTGAAGTAACCAGTGTGTCGGTATCTATTTTATTGCTAAGAGAAAAAACAGAACGTGGCTTCATATGAGACGGCACACTACTACTCACCAGAAGGCCGTAGTGCTTGCAGGAAACCTAGAACACCAGTGGCCTCAAAATTCAAATTCGCGATTGACAATTTTTTCTAGTAAATATGGCAGCCACGGCATCCAACTCCACCATGTCTGGTCAACCGATGCCACGTGAACCACTTCACTTTCCAGAAAAATATCCAGAAGACGTGGAACCAAAATATCCACCACCACTCTTTACACCTCCTCTACTATAAATATCCACTGGTATTTGTCTAAACAGATTCACAGCTCTTGCTCAATTCTTCTAAGATTAAGAGTACTCCTTCTCATTGTGGTAGATATAAACAGTTTAGTCGGGAACTTGATCATTCAGCATTGCGTCTTGAGATGGCTGCATCATTTTCATTTGCTACTCAATCTATCCTGGGAAACCCGGTGTCCGGTGTACGAACAGATCATGTGGAGTAAGCCAGTTTTTCCCGGTCAAGTACGTGCCTCGTCTAGGAAGAAATGCCGGCGTACAAGTCCGTTGCATGGCTGAGGTAGTGATGATGACTTGATTACCATGCTTTGTTATTTCTTTGAACTCTAATTTATAGATCTTGTTTTGTTTGAGAGTAATTCTTAATCCTTCTTCTCAACTCTGCAGGAAAAACAGAAGGCAAAGGTGAGCACGAAGTTCTCAGACGTGTTCGCATTTAGTGGGCCAGCTCCGGAGAGGATCAATGGCAGGCTTGCTATGATAGGCTTTGTAGCTGCAATGGCAGTAGAGGTAGCTAAGGGTCAGGATGTGTCTACACAAATATTAGACGGTGGGCTTACATGGTTCATAGGTACAAGCGTTGTACTATCACTGGCATCTCTAGTTCCTCTATTCAAAGGAGTGACCGTGGAGTCCGTGTCAGAAGGTTTGATGACGTCAGATGCTGAGCTGTGGAACGGGAGGTTCGCAATGTTGGGTCTGGTTGCTTTGGCCTTCACGGAGTATGTTAAGGGTGGTGCTCTTGTATAGGCCTTTTTGCTTTGGCCTTTTCGCAGTATGTTAACGGTGGCGCTCTTGTATTGTAATGTATAGGCCTTCACAGAGATTGTAATATCAAAAAAAAAATTTACGTATTCAATAAACAATTAATATTTTTCGTTATAAAATTATATTTGTTATAATTGTTGAATAGAGGATAAATAGTCCACTCACAAACACTTTCATGACCATAAATAATGAGGAAACTCCGTTACGCTGAGAGGATTTAAATCTTTTCTATACAAATTAAATTGAGAAATATTATATAAAGGTTAGATGTTAAATTATGAGTAAAAAAACTAATACAACAAATTACTATTTTCCTTAACTTAGAAATGAGTTTGTTTATATACGAACAATATTTTTTTTATTGGTGAGATCTTTAAAAAATATGTTCAAATAAGATGTATTTAAGGGTATGAAAAATCTAGATTATATCAATTATGTTACAAATCAATATTTATGTCATGATTTTTTTCTATATATCTTTACAAATAAAATGATTGATCGTCATTGAATTGATTGATTTACCGAATTGACATATATATTCTAAATTGTGATTTAAATGTTGATTGTCATTTAAATGTTAAATCTCATAATTGTTTAGAATTTATCTATTTTTTTTAACAACTTTTAATGGATTTCGTAAATGATTATCTTCTTATAACCTTATATTTCCATTATTTATCTTAAGAAAAAGAAAAAAGAAAAAAGAAATCTAGAATACCACGTTGACAACAAACATCTATTATCAATAATTTATTAGCATCTCACAACACAACACAAATCGCCGAGCTCGACAACGTGAGCTTGTTATCCAAGTGGGGGCAAATAAGTGATAGAACATTAATTGGCTCAGTGTCATTGAGTTAAGTCTCCTGCGAAGGCTAGAGCCACATGGGTTCTAGAGTTAGAGGGCACTGCGTGAGGGTGGTTTCATAGAGCAGCGACTTCTTCCCGATCTTTGCAGTGGAAGGATAACAAGCCGATGCCAACGGGTCTCAATATGGCTCAATGGGTTGATCCCACATGGACCATCACTTTTGTTTTTCATATTGAAACTTATGTTATTGTTATTTTAAAACTTAAAGTTTGTCTCTTGTTTGTTTTTTTTATTATTTATCTCTATATATAAGAACCAAGAATTCTAAACTATTAGGGGTGCGCCAAAAAATTGAACCCAAAAACCCATACCGAATCAAGCAGAGTTTGGATACTAAAATATAAAACTAAATCAAATTAAAAAAAAAAATTAAATAGATCAGTTTGAGTTAATAATCTTTAACCTGATAAACCGGACCGAACCGAACCATATTATATATTTATCATATAATATGATAATAGCATTCTAAATATATTTATTGTGAATAAACTTATTATATGTGTTTATTATGTAAAAGCATTTAAAAAAAAAAAAAAAGTCAGTACTCCTTGCTAAAACAAACAATCAAGTGTTATTATTGAAAAAATGGACAAAACAAAAAACAGAAATCATATCTTTAAGAATTTAAGAAATTGTAAAATGAAACTCAAAGATTGTTAAAATAAATCTCCATGGCCAATAAATAAAATAATATAATATAATACTTATATCCTTCTCTAGAAATTATGAATTGTGATAGGCATTGTAGTACTAGGGAACATGGTTGTTAGTATTCTACGATACCTGATATGTATCATACGATACGATTTGATACAGGTCGTCAACGATACATATCAGAGAGTGTATCATAAACCTTTCGATACATTGATATGTATCCTACGATACGATACATATCCGTTCGTATCCTTAAAAATATCGATATAAATCGATACGACTTTATTAATTTAGGCCAAAGGTTCAAAAAAAATTTCGGGTCGAAACCAGGTCACCCAACCCGATTCACTAAAACCTATCCAAATTTACCCATTTTGCATGGAGAAAGTGAAGAGGAATATGTATTGCCCATTTTACATGATAATAATAATATAAGTGGAGATATAGATATTGACATTGATCTTGGAATTTTGTGATTAATTTTGATTATGTAATACCGTAATTTAAAGCCAATAATACCACAAATTTTTTTAATTAATCTTGGGGATGATATTAATTTTTAGAAAATTTTGATTATTTTATTAATTTTTTTGAAAAAGGCGTATCTTACGATACGATACGATACGATACGCGATACACGATTAAAAAAATTAGGTTTTCGATACACGATTTGATAACTATGCTAGGGAATGCAATTGTTTAAATTCAACCTTACAATTCCTTTCGTTTTCATCAACATGGTTTGCACTTTCTTGACCAAAAATCTCCTTTACTCCTTGCAATCAGTTACTTCGATTTCTTGTATCTGAGAGATATTTTTGGCCATAGAGGATGAGAAGAGATACCTCAATCTTTCACACTTTTCTACTTTTATGACTGTTAATTTGCTGAAAGACTTCACATTGACTAGGCTACAACATATCTTCTCCGTGTTAGTTAGATTAAAAAAAAAATAAAAAATTATGTAATCAATAAACAACTAATATTTTTCTCTATAAATTTGTTATAATTGTCCAATAATGAGGAAATTCCGTTATGCTGAGAGGATTTAAATATTTTCTATATAAATTAAATTGAGAAGTATTATATGAAAGTTAATGTTAAATTATAAGTAAAAAAAATATAATACAACAAATTACTATTTTCCTTAACTTAAAATTGGCTTGTTTGTACGAACAATATTTTATCCAATTGATATGATCTTTAAAAAAAAATGTTCAAATAAGATATACTTAAGGTTGTGAAAAATCTAGAATATTAAAAAAATACTATATCAGTTCTGTTACAAATCAATATTTATGTTATGATTTTTTTTCTATTTATCGTTACAAATAATATGATTGATCATCGTTTGATTGATTGATTGATTGATTTAACATATTGACGTATATATTTTAACTTGTGATACTATTACTAGTAATCTCATAATGAACACACTTAGCTTATTTCATCTATTGGTTCAGAATTTTTAGTGGATTTATAGTAAATGATTATATTCTTATTAACTTATGTTGTTTGTGTCTCAACTTTATATTGGTATAACATTACTGATTTTTCTAATTGATTCTTAATTTTTTATTTTCATTTTTTAATTTATGAGTTACATATATTGTTATCTATGCTTGGAATTGTAACATCAAAGTGAGATTTTCATTAAATATTTGCAATATATAGAAAGGAATAGCTTATTATATGATAGATGCTTAAAACATATCAATCTTAATGGTTCTTTTGAATCATTTTCGAAATTAATTCTTTGTGTTCGGTTTGGTTTCAGCCAACATATATTTCCACTATTTATTACTAAGAAAAGGAAGAAAGAATCTAGAATACCACATCGATAACAAACATTTATTTTTACCAGTTTATAAGCATCTTACAACACATAACGGACAGCGGAGCTCAGCAACGGGAGCTTGTGACCCAAGGGGGGGCAAACAAGTAATGGAACATTGGCCCAACTCGATTGAGTTGGGTCCGGCGTGGCCGTATACTGGCTTGCCCGTTCCAAGCCAAGAGTTGATCCATGTATTTCCGGCGAAGGCTAGAATCACGTGTGTCTTAGAGTGGAGGGCACTGCGTGAGGCTGGTTTCACAGAGCAGCGACAAGCTCCCGCTCTTGGCAGTGGAAGGATAACAAGCTAGTATCACCTGGTCCCAATATGGCTCAATGGGTTGACCCCAAATGAACCATCACTTACAATTTTTTTCCTTCTTTCTCATCTTTAATAAAAACTTCTTTTTAAAGTCTACTTCATTTGTTCTTTCGGGCAAGAGTTGCATGTGGTACCTGGTCCCAATATTTAACTCTCACATAGTTGTACAAATTTAATCTTCTAATTTATTTTATTTTCTTTTCAAAGTTTCCTCTTTCTTAATTTTTTTCTTTCTTTCTTTCTAATAAATTTAAAAACATTTATTAATACTATCTTAACAAAAATATTATCTAAAATCCAATGGAGGTTCCCTTACATGATCTAGAAGTGTTTATTTTAACTAGAATGCTTTTGGCACATCCAGTCCTTGTCTCGATCTAGTGGATTTAAATAATCTGCTCAAACGGTCATCGGCTCACCTACCCTCCATATATACCTGTATTATATGCATGATCAAACTACGTATCTCAACCAAAAGTGTACACACATAGTATGCTTTAGTTTATCTTGAAGCAACCTGGGAGCTTAGCAATAACACATTTTTGGGAATTTAAAATATNTCATGATCCCCACTCGATAGTCACTAAGAATGGGTTGGTACTGTGTGAATTCCACCTGATAGTCATGGAGAGTGAGATGGTATTGTGTGAACGCCATCCGGCCGTACCTCCGGTAAGATGAGGCCATGACGTTTAGTAATAACAGAAATAGTATAAGGAAAGAATTAAGTGTAATACATACGGGGATAGACAGATAGAGGGTTTTACTTACTGAGCATTATTTTGTGCTCACCCCGTTATTTTCCTTTGTGGGGAAGGTGTGCTGACTGTTGAGTCAAATGAAGTTGACTAGGAGAACCACTTTCGATTTTTAATTTCTCCCACTCGGTTGGCTGAGCCAAGTGGAGAGAGTTCTTGTTGTAGTGTGATCAAAGCTGCATGGAGACAAAACTGATTGGGAGTTGTAGGGCCAATTGAGACGAATATTAACGTGTTGCCCGCTCGGTGGACCGATCCGAGTGAAGCCATTGTGCATTCTGCAAAGTGAATTAGATTTCCAAAGAATTCCAAATAAAACTTTGATCAAAGCATGTGAGCACAAATATGGAATATGGGCTCATTGTGCAAGCGGCTGAAAATAATGAGAAAAAATCACTTTTCCAAAATTTCGCCACATGGTGTTTTTAACCAAGGTGCATTAAATGCCATAATGCTTTGGCAATGTCATTCATTCAAAACCTGTAACTTTTTATTTATTTATTTACTATCTTTGTTTAAGTTTTACTCTTTCTAGCCAAAGGTGTGGGCGATTTCTCCAGAGATTCCACAGTGATTTCTCCTGATTCTTTCGTTTTGTTTTTCTCTGTTCTTTTTGTGTTCTTAAAACCTTCTAGGCTACTCTTGGATGAATTTGAGGTGATTTTTGTTGACTTTTGAAGAAGAAAAATTTG